AAGTGTTCACCTTCCGCTTGCCGCACTGTAATTGGTCTGCCTTCCTTGTTTGATATTGTTTATCTGTTCATTCCATCTTAATTTTGTTCTTGACTTTTGTTCTGGACTCTCAAAGGCAGTTTCTGAAATCCGGAGCCTGGCTCAGAGCAGGATCATCACTTTGCGCCGGTAACGAGCTCCCGGGAGGTGAAGTTCAGCCGACGGAATAGAGTGATCACTGGTGTTAATGAGACTGGCTTAGTGACACAGGAGCAGAGCTGATGTTAGCCAAAACCTGCTGCAGGCCAAGCATGTGTGGCCGCAGAGAGTGGACGACGGGGGGGGGGGTGCATCTGATTAAAAGGCTGAAGTACCAAGGACAACACACAATCCTTATTCCACCTTGGATCAGAGTGAATAGGAAATCGCATCTGGGCAAATTGACAAAAATGGGAGCGACTCTCCCGTACAAAGAGTAATGGGCCACTGATGGAGTTAATAGGAGGTCCACAGCAATCCCTGTAAGCGTCTTGACTGGGTTATAAACTGAAAGGTCTCCCACCAGCTGGTCACAGGAAAGCATGTGTGATTCATACTGATCCCGTTGCTTTTGCATAGGACTACAGCGGCCCTTTGGCTGGCTGTGGAGGTGCAGTGTGTGTTTTCGAATCACTCGGAGCTCCGATGATGGATAGCGGTGCCATCACGACCGAAATTCTCTTCATCGGGGCCCGGCCACCAATTACTCCGCGAGGCCCCTTTGTCGTTTCGTCGCCTGAAGCAGAAGACGACAGGCCGGCGTGGAAGCGCTCCTCCCCACACATCTTCTGAGATAAAACAGTCCAGTAATTAGCATCCGATGTGTCGTTGACGGCTTGTGTTATGTACGTCAACAAGAATGACATAATGCAGACACAATGAACAAGCATTAAAAAGACGCTTCATAATTTATTCATAATTGGAGGTCAAAAAAGAATAATCAGTTACATAAGCAATACTGAATATGCTAAATTATTCTACATTAGAAATGATCAGCATATATAACCATTTATAATAAGATGTAACGCAGATTCACTCAGCATTGTGGCCTCACACCTCTGGGGTCTTAACCTGGCGCAGAGTAAGTAGGGTGACCAGATAATCCATGTCAGGGAGGACACCTTGAGCTACTTTACAACTACTATTTTACAACTGAAAGGCTCCCCTGCTTGGCTGAATAGTTCAGTTCTTCTTGTACTTTGACTGACTTGTTTCCTTGATTGAAAGACTGATCCTGCTACATTAGTGACACACACATGATTATAGGAGACTGACCAATCAGCAAACAGCAAGAAGTGAAATCCTTTTCATTGAAATGGTAATTTACAAATCCTGTCCTAGCTCAAAAGTCAACGTCCTAAAAATTTTTTAGAAAAAGTTTTAAATTAACATTGTGGGGACCCATTTAGGATGTAATGATCTTGGGGCAAATTTGGCTTAATGGTGGGGAAGGGTCCGAGCAGGACAGTTTTGCCCAGTATTTAGAAAGACAAACAAAGACCTTTGTTTGAGTCCAAGCTGCCCGACTGTATACTACTGATATCATACACAAGTGCTTTTCATAACTGAAACTAATTTGAAATGTGTCTCTTTATTCTTTTTTTTTTCTCTTTTTTTTTTTTCTCTGTGTCTCTTTATTCTAACGCTGTTTTATGCTTATATGCCTTTATATGAAAAATCATAACAGCTACAGTGCATCCTGACAAACAGCTCCAGGACTTCATTCTGAGGCAAAGCAGGTTTCTCTGAGTGGGTTGTTATTTTTTCAGACTCAATATCTGATATGAACAGCATTCAAATGTGCTTTAGCCGTCTGCCCTTGATGAAATAACAGCAGATTGATGGAGACTGTAAAAACTCAGTGAAAGTTCACAATGAATTATTAATAAAGTCCGCCTGGAATATGGCATGCTAGAGTAAGTGTCACTATCAAATTAGGCCACTTTGTTAACTACATTTTTGGAAGAGTCAGTTATTAAGGGTTGCCTACAGGTTATCTTTTTGATAGATAACTAACCAGATGCAAAATTGTAATATTATAAGGATATTAAACATATTTACAGTCTGCATATTTGAAGGACTCTACAGCAAAAACTGGGTTACTAGCCCCAGTCCTTAACTACACCACATGTTGGCTGTAAATAATGTTCTCTTCTTGAGCTTATGGGCCCCGGATGAAGGGAACAGGAAGTAGACAAAGGAGTGTCTGACCCAGCAGAAAGCTTCTGTTATTTCTCCATGCTTTAGTATCGCTGTTGCGCACCCTGGAGACCGGGACACTCAGCAGGGAGCACAAGTGGCTGAGGAAAGGCCACTTACTGTACAAGCAAATCATTTTTCAATAAAATCTAGTTTGTGTTGCAAAGTCTTTTCCAGCTGAGTCATTTGAAAATGCCTAAAATTTTTACTTATAAATAAAATATTGTAAGGTGCTTTGTACAGTGAGCCTATACTATACTATACTATACTATGTAGTATACAGGATTTGCAGTATGGCGATTATGGAAATAAAGATAGACTTTACAATTTATGGTTGTTTAGATTACACTTATTGTCCCCATAAACTGAACTAGAGTGTATGCAGGCTGTTAATTTCTTTGTGAAAAGCAAACCACGTAGCAGTATGGGGGAAAAAAAATCAGCCTTCAAAATGTTCTATTTCTTTATGAAGCAAATTGTACGTAAGAGACTGAGCAAGAAAGGATTACATGGATATTTTCGGTTTGAGGATGACTGCGGTAAACATATTGCTGCTGTGTGAACTAGTTTCATGTTTTTCCATTGCACAGTAAAGTAATTCTTATCTTCATGTCCGGTGTGCTAAAACAGGGCTAACAGCAGCTCAGACACAGTGCACCAATTACTGGGTAGTCGGTTGTCTATTGCGACGAGGTCCTGCGTGAAGGCTGGGTGTCAAGAAAGCAATTAAGTATGGCAGTCTGTCGCATGATTATTGGGGGCTACGGGAGAACAAGGAGAAAGGCAAAGAAGAGACAAGGAAGCCCCCCGACAACCACTCGTTCAGAGTCAGTGGGTAAAATAAATGGTGCGTAAAAAACTAAGTGCATCAAGAGAGCGTTTGTTGGTGTCGCAGCCCCTGATTGACCTGAGCTTCACATCCTAGGTCGGGTGACATGCGGCAGGTCCCCTTGCGACATGTCTGCTGTTGATGGATGACCGCTTTCTCCTGCTCAGCCGAGAAATCTTCATCGTATCCCGATCGTGCCCCGGACCCATTAGCTTGGGGCCGCAAACGAGGCGCATCGTTCCGGGAATAGAATTTTATTTATTTAACATTGTATATTTTCGGATGGTGACGGTATATATATTCTCCTCCGCTGTACTGCGGATTTAGGCTTAAAAGCAATGCAGGCATAACTGAGCAGTAATTAAACCGTTTGCTAAACACTGCGATGTTAAATTTCTGCATAATTTGTAAAATCGCCATTATACATTTACTTTGTTTTCCATGTTCGGTAAATTGTAAAAATGGATTACAAATGCACATTCTGTGATACTGATACACCTCCATGCTTATCCAGTCCTACCATTAAGGTCAAAGGTAATTAAACTGCCGCATCCAGTTTTGTACAGTATGTGTGTATGTGTGTGTTTTTCCTGGAAAATCTAATTGCATTATTTCTGTTGAACACTTCATAAATATGCATGAGGGGCTGGCAGGGTGCGTTCATTGCCGCGAGGTCGCTCAGACGTTTCTTGTTTCTGTCTGGGTATGAAACTGATTCCTGTATTTCATGTCAGAGGCACAGTTGGCTAGGTTGTGAATGAGTCTAGCTTGAGGTCTCGAAGTGTATGTTTTTGTGCAATTCAGCACTGATTTGTCACTTTGCACCTCAGCGTTGTAATTTTCCATCTTAAACAAGGAGAAATAAATAGCTCCCATGTAACATTTTGAACTTATTTTACTTGCTTTGAGGACCTGTTTTTGTTGGAAATACCTTGTTTCCCGAAGGGTGACGTTTGCAGTGAGGTCATTGCTGTCAATATTTGGAATTTGGTTCAGAATGTTTGGATAAAATCAGAGCTAATTATTAACAATAGCAGTATTAATAATCAAAACGAAGTAGATTAATACTTTTAAATAGGTTGTTCAGCAGAGCTTATGGATTGATAAGATGATATGGCACACAAGAGGCAAAGTAATTCCTTAAGGCTGGTTCATAATTATGCCAAATAGGTCTGTATTCAAAGTGTCAGAGGGGGGCACTGTTTGCCCAGTCAAAAGATGCCAAGGTCAGCAATGCATCTGGCAGGTAAGCAAGCAGAGGGATAATCAATAGACGCTGTTAACGTGATGATACATTAGCAACTTGAGCAATGTTGCCAGGCAACTGCCAACCAGGTGAGACAAAGGGCAACTCATCCTGATCAGTTTTTTTTTTCCTAATAGAATTTTGTTACCCAGTATCAGTGGGAAAGTGCATGAGCAGCACTGCTCAAAAAGCTGCCCTGTGTATCGGCAACTTTTGGTTTGTGGGCACAGAAGGGCAAAGGCCCACTTGGTGTGGAATGTCTCAGTGAGTTACGGCAAGATCCAGGTGACTGTCACCGTTTTCCTCAGCTCCTCTGTTGCATTTTGTCTATTTGTACAAGGGCATAGAATTATTCAAAAAGCATCTGCCTCGTTAACTCACAACTGGGTCTAAGAATACTATCATAATCATTATAACGAATATCTCACTCTTAATCAGATATGGTTGAGTCCTTGGCTGTGATAAATATTTCCCCATAATGAATCGGAAAGGGTGGCCACCTTGAGTCAGGATTTCTTCTCGGCCTGCATGCTTATGCCATTGTGTATATGACCTCAGCGTGACCTAAAGCACAATATCAGTAAATCTTCTGTTCTCCGCTGTAGTCGGAAAATGTTCCTTGCAGGCACAGACCCCAGAGAGACCCCAGCTCCTTAATTGGCCTCTTAACGTACTGTATACACCGCTCGTGTACAGCGTTCACTTCCGTGGCCGCTAATAGCATGCTTGAGCTTTTCCATTACGGAGAACCGGACCGTGCGTACTGGGAGGTAGAGACCACCTAAAAGCACATCCCGCAACACGTCCAGCAGCAGCACTGGTGTAATTTCAAAGATTTTTTCCCCCTGTAGTACCTGGTCTCTCTGACTTCGGTAAGTTATAGCATTTTTGCCACAGATTGCCTTGGAAATCTGACACGCTAGTCTCAGTACAAGCCAATGTCATGTCTGAGGACTGCAGCAATGAACTCCTGTAACATTAAAAATTGCACCACATCGTATTTGCATTTTATTGTTTGTTCCCTATATTTTCCATTGTGAAGAAACAAAACCTCTCTGCCTCTCACTTAAATCATACTATCCCAAAACCTGCACCCCCAGGATTAGCATTTTAGCTAACAGTCAGGTTAGCTAATAGTAGGAGACTTTAGGCCCAGTGATCTTTGCTCCACCCGAGGACAGGGTGCTTGAGTGAAATTATAGTCTTGCTTGACGTCGCCCGGAGGGAATCGTTCTTGGTCATTGGGGCGAGGCTGCTGATCTCCTGTTATAAAATCATAGGCAGGTAAACAGAGATGGTGCAGGGAAGAGGCACAGTTCTGTAAACAACTTATTCATGCTCTCTGAGCAGAATCTGTTTGGTTGCATTTGATTATCAGCTTAGGGAATGTCTAAAAACTCCATCTCTTTGGTGAAAACTCTATTATGAGACCCCTGTTATTCTCCCCTATGCATCTCCATGAATAATTCACTTGGCTCCTGTGGAAAAACGTCACAAAACACGCCTGCAGACTGGGGAAGTTTTCACGTGTGGATCTTCCAGCCGCCTGCTTTTGCCTGCATTTCTCAAAAGCTTCAGGAAAGCGCTCCAGGTTAGCTCTGCATTTCCTGGTCGAAGTGAAGTCTTTCAAATGTGCTATTTTTAAAATGCGGTGTTTTTGAAATAAGGCGCTGTCAAAACTCCCGTTCAAAGGTTCTGTGGTGATTAAAACCTGGACTCTGTGCCAGATGTGATCATGTGACTTCTTGTCGTGCTGCCCCTCACTCCCCAGGTCTCCTGCGACCCCAGTGAATGGGCACCTCTTCTCCTCTTTTGCTCAAGTTGCCCATTTAGCTGCGAGTTCTGTCAGGTTTTTAGCAACTTTCAGGCCGATTAACCTCCTCCGTGCTCTGCATTCACTACTGTGAAGGGCCGCTTTTTCAGGAGATCAAAGCCATCCCAAGACCAGGACTGAGGACAGTCGGTTATGATCAGAGGCACAGTCTCATTAAAGGAACATAACACCAGAAAGACAGAGCACATGAACAGCACATGGACAAAGTCAGTCTTTATCCCAGATATCAAAAAAGGGATTTACAATCAAAGATGCAGTACGAACAGTGATGTTTTATTCTATTTAAATTACGCCATAGTTTACATTATGTGCTTAAAATATTTACAGAGAACTACATTATGCTACGGGTCACAGTTCCTGTGTTGAAGGCAAGGCTACAGGACAGAGTACGTCTTAGTGTGTTCGCAAACTCATTGAAGAACCTTTTCCTGCTGTGCCTGCTCACTCTGACAGCACTGGCTTCAGGGGTACGGCCATGACGAGCCTCTGAGTTTTCGAACGCGACTGTTGGCATGACTACAGCACTCACGGCGACGGACACTTCTCAGTCGATGTTTCTAAGGCCCCATGGGACTATTTACATACATCTAAAGTACATTACATCACAGTAGGCAGTGGGAGGGGGAGGGGGCTCAGTCTCCAGAACAGGGTTTGATGTTAGTGCATAAATAAATTAAAGATACATTATATACAATCAGTAACGATTTTCAATAAATGACAGAAGTTCAACATGCCAGTATGACACATGGTAAGAGATTTAGTCGTGCTTATATAGTTTGTTACGATGTTTCCTTCTGTACATTCGCTGCTGTTTGGTTTTGCTCTTCTGAATATTGGATTTTTGTCCATCACTTAAGTGTTTTCGAAAACAAATACATTAGTCAAACCCCTTAACTGTCTTCATTATTCCCAAAACTGTTTGTTCCGCATCTGCATCACTTTGTTCAGGGGTCGGCCCTCAGTTTATTAGACAATTAGATTAGACTGAGCTGAAAAGTGAAAAAAAAAATAAGTGGTTTGTAATGTTTGTGCTTGTACAAAAACCGTTTGGGCATAACAATCAGAATGGGAGGTTATTAGATTTCATTCAAATGAATGGTAACCATTTCATTCATTATTTGAACAAAATTTTACAACAAAATAATTCAAGTAATCAATTATCACTGTTTTAGATAAAGGGCATTTAAAAAAAGAAAGAAAATATTTGTATTTATATTCTCATTAGCTCAACCCCACACTGAAGTTAGTTAAAAGCAGCATCAATAACAACTAATCTGAAAGTATTAAACAGCTCAATTCGCTCACTTACACATGAGGTCAGTTAGACCAAAATTCATATACAGTGTGTTCCTTCCATCACAACCGAGAAACACATATTTAAATTTAAAAATGTATTATTATTATAAAACGAAACATTATTTAAAAAAACAAAACACCCGGCAAAGTTTCCACTCGTCATATAAACTCTCTGTTGTAAATTTATAGAAAAAAATGTAGTATACTTATCAATCCCAGAATAAATAATACATAAAAAAATAAAGTTAACAACTGCTCCATGTAAGTATTCAAACAAAACATAACAAATAAATCTATATTACTGGAGGCTTCAATAAATAAAAGCACATCCACAACACTTCATTCCATTCAGTTGAATATACTGTATTAGTAGTATTATTGTTATTATTGTGGTGTGTAACGTCACAACCAGGGGATTCACTGGTGGAACCCATCATGACTTCATGGTGCAGATGGGCACCACAATGACCAGGATGACAGTGCAGGCAGCCGCTGCAATCAGGGCTCCGATCTTACACACTTTGGCCCTGCGAAACTCCGCCTCTTTACGCTTCAGCAGGGAATCGTAGCCCGGCGTGTAAATATCTTCCATCCAGTACTCCAAGTTGTTGGGGTTCAAAGACTCCTGTCCCTAGAGGAAATAAAGGATAAGTTGTTTGTGAAACGTTTGTGCGTGTATTTACCTGTAGGAAAATTTTACTGCTTAATGCAGTATATTTCCATTTCTCAGGAACCCAGCTTGTTTGAATTACTTCTCCTAAAATAGTTACTGGAGGAATAACAGCATTAACAGACTCAAAAATGAGGTATCAGGGAGTCACATGAGAAATAAGTGAGGCTTTAGACTTCTACAAAGAGAAGGTCAGATTTTAGCGATTTTAAAACTCGATTCCAGACGTCCTGAGACGCTCAGAATGGAGATTAAGTCAGATTTTGACACATATTTCCTTTTTTTTTTAGCTCAAGGTATCAGATTTTCAAAGATGATTCGTCATAAACACCATCGAGAAATGGCCGTCAGAACAATAAATCTCATGTTTGTGTTGACAGGATATGATTTCAGTTTGGCAGCACAGATAAACACTGTCTTGGTGAATTTGTCCTCTCCACATGGCAGCTGTAGCGATACACACATGGTCAGCTGAGAAGACGACGGGGACTGATCTCCCCCCCACCTGCAGTTTAACACCCTCCCCGGAAGACTGTAGCAGTTGTTTTTGTCTCTTGGCAAAATCTTAACCAGCCCAGCAGCTTCCAAGTTACCAGTGGCGGGTATTTATCAATAAAACATGACAAGCGAGCAGAAGCGGGGGGGCGGGGGGGCGGGTGGGTGCGACTCCACGTTTGAAGGTAGGCTGGCGCGCCTGGGAGCTGGCGCATGTTTTAATGCAATTTTAATGCATTTTAAATCCAGCAAACCCCAGGCACACGATGTGACCCAGCTGTGTTTCCAGCACACGGTGTTAAGTCTGACTAAGGAGAACTGAGCCCGCAGAACGACAGGCAAGACCGTATAAATCATTTCACGCCGTGTGCCTTACGGTCATCGGGCCCAGTGGTCGGCTCTGCGGAGACACGCCACACGGGCCGAGGTCCAAGGTCATGAGCTGGATTGCTGCCCGGTTCCTCCTATGTTTGTACAGTCTGCATGGTCCCTCTGGCTTCCTGCCTTTACTTCAAAGCATATACTCATTATATCAATCTGTGTCTCTAAATTAGTCCACGAGAAGAACCGGTAGCCAGTGTGAGTGACTCCAGCTTCACGGTGGTGCAGCAGCACAGGTATTTTCGAGAAAACAGGTGAATGTGTTCAGAGGTGGACAGGTCAAGGAAGTAAAAATCCAGACCAAAATTTTGTTTCAACCAACCAGTTGAGTATATAAAGAGTCACAGTCATAGAGTACTCCGCTGGTTGGTTGAAACAAAATCTTGGTCTGGATTTTGACTTTCTGGACCTCTGAATGTAATAATGTTATTACTGTCTTACTGAGGGCTCTAGTGATGCTGAGAGCCTCAAGGACAACTATAGGCATCTAAGATCTCCTGCCTCTAGTTCTGGCATCTGCTGGAGATGTAGCCAACTGTGACTTTTCAGTGTGAAGCCTTTATGCGGATCCAGGGGAGGATCTAGGCTGCGCTGACAGCAATCAGAGCAACCAGCACTTATCTAACCCTAACACTCTCTTGCAGATGGCTCTGACAGCTTAGTAGATTTAAAGCAGATTTAAATGAGAAATTAAATTTAACTGGACTTTATATGAGTTGTGTTTTGCACTTAATCACCTGGCTGTGGCTGACCCATTGACCCTCGGATATACAAGTCCTGTGTACATTTTGCAGGTTTGATTCACCCGCTTTGGGCAAAATGGCCCCATTTGCATAAAATTTACATTACTGCTTCGTCAAAGCCGCCAGTGAGCATCCTGCTAATGAGCAAGGTCTAGGTGCCAAAATGAACTACCATCCAAAATAATTTGTTTTTATTACTCACAGTGTTGTAACAGTGTGTCTGTTGCAATTACTGGCTTCTTAATGTTGCACTTGGAACGGCGGCTTAAACTTGGGCAATTGCATGAGTTGCATCTGCGATCTCAGTCTCCTTGATGTGGAGGGAGTGATTTCTTTGAAGATGAATTAATAAAAATGCTGACTGTAAAGGGTGGAGCATTATTGTAATACGGCTGAATGTAGGGGCTGCACGATTTGTGGAAAATATCGAATCGCGATTTTTCTGACAGAAATTGCGATTACGATTTGATTTGCGATTTAATTTTTTTATGTCAAGCTTCAGTTCAGTATTCAGTGTGTAGTAATTTTATATGACGCAGCATGATACACCATAAGTATTAACTGGTCTATATTCTAATGCAAGGATGAGAATTTAAAGATGTGTTGTGTCAAGTTAAATAAAGTAATAATGAAAACAATTGCAGCATAAAGAAAGATAGCGATCTTGCAGGTAACGCTTATTTCCCTCCTAATATAACACTAGAACCGCCTTTTCCCACGCCAATGAAAAAGCAAGAACTACTTCGGTGTATGCAGCCCTTTTGTTTGCGCTATTGTGTTGTTAGCTGCTATTATTAACACTAATATCACTCAAAAAACCATGATGTTCATAACAGAGTGGCTGTTCTGTCCTGAAACCGTAAAGCTGGAAATTTTTAAACGTAGTATGCATTTTATAAAATGTTGAATAAATAGAAGTCGTTTATTGGTGATTTCATGTTGGTCCAAGTGTCCGCTTTTTGACAACTTTATACGGTTATTTTCTATACAAATCAATTCAGGTGAAACAAAAAATGTACGTGTTCATGGTTGCAAACTCTTTCAGACGGCAAATCTATATTCCATTCTGAACTTAAAACTAGCTACATCAAAAACGTTATGGCAGTTTGCAACCCCCACAGACTATTTACAAGGTAATAAAACTTACATACATGTAAATGTGTGTGCAGAACAGAGAACAGAAAATCTCACTCCATGCAGCTGACTAAAGTTGCCAACCCTGCATTTTATTTTAAATGAGAAGTAAAATTCAGTTTTCGACTGAAGCAGCTTATCATTTCTTTGCTTTGTTACTCGGACAAATACAAAACAAATGATTAAACATTATATGCGTCTCTTTTTGTATGTTTTCTAAATAAGACCGCGTGCCCATACCCAACTGTAATAGCGATTAAAGCAATCTATTCTTTTAGTATTTATGTTAAAGCAAGGCTTATTTTATTACTGTTGTGGGATTAATCTTTGGAAACACTTAAATTTAATAAGCACAAAAACATATGACATAAACACGACTGTATTGTGGGTTTTACGGCTTTTTTGGGGGTGACCGACACCGCTGCTGTGAGAATTACTGACTGTCTCATTGTTGTTTTGATGGGTTAGCGGTATACTAATGCTATTGCCTATTAACAAAAACCAAAGGTATGATACGCTGAAGTACACTCACCTAAAGGATTATTAGGAACACCATACTAATACG